GCATGGAAATCCAGCGTAGAAACACTCTTGCCAACGAGTGCTACTTTAGGCTGAGTAGGCAATTAAGGAGTAAAGTCCTCACTCGACATTCAAAAACCACACTCTATAAATCACTCATCATGCCCGTGTTGAGCGGTATGAGCTCTACAACGAAATAGACATAGTGCAGCGAATTAAAATACAGCGATTCCGCTGGATTGGCCATGTCGCTCGAATGAACTCCGATGCCGAAAGCATTCAACTCGGAACTCGCTGGCGGTAGCAGAGGAAGAGGAAGGTAAATGGAGAAGAACTTGGCTTCACTTGACATTTCCAATTGTCGTCAGTTGGCTCAGAAGCGAAACGTGTGGCGTGCTTTGTTGAACTTGGCCAAAATCGCTTAGGCGGTTACAGCTCCAAATGGGAAGAAGAAGAAGAAGAACAGCTTTAAAACTAGCTTACAGTACAGTCTAAATTATGCGTAACTTTTAGAAACATACAGTGGCGGTCAAAAGTGGATGAATGGTGTTTCATTTTTATTATTTAAAATTTTTTAAAGCTTATTTTTTTTATATTTTTCTTTATAAAAATATGATACATACTTTGACAAAAATCATATAAATCACTCTTTCAAACTTTATAAAGACTTTAGAAAAATTCCACAAATTCGTATCTAAATTTTATATACGAAATATTTCATGTCAAATTATGCAATACGAAAAAACGTTCAAGGGCTGAAAATGTTTGTACATTTTGGAAATTTTATCTGGCAGCTTCACTGAAAGTGATGCAATTCATCAGACTCAAGAACCGACAAATAATATAATTAATATAATTTAAAAACTTTTTTTTTGGCATTTATGTTTTGATTTTGGGTTGAACCGGTCTTAAACCCAGGCCCTGCGTAATGGTAGCGCGCACTGCTAGCCACCATACCACAGCGGTTACTATATTAATACGAATAAAAATGCGAAAATTATCGGTGACGATACTGAAAAATATTTTTATGAAAATATCCTTCAATCATTTTGCAACACTATGTATCGATAAATATCGATAACGATAAAGGAATTTTTGGTATAAAAACAAGATGCAATGATAAGCAAAAAAGAACCACTGAAGTTCTCGTATGGATATAGTTTTCTCATAAAGATAATTTTTTTCTTGAAAATTTAGAAAGTGTGTTTAATAACATTTACATTCTTCGTTAAATTTGAGCACTCGGCCATTAAATAGAAAGCTAGATCAATGTGCTTATAATAAAATACCTAAAAGTATGCTTTCAAGTAGATCGTAAGAAATATTTTAAAGGAAATAGCGCCACTTAAATTAGAAAATTTCAAACCATGCGCAAGTCCTCCAATTTTCATACAAAAAAAAGATTATTCCCCGAATTCACTTACATAATTCACTTCCATGCTTGTGACAAGTGCTAGCTTTTTGTGACAACTGTGCGAAATACTCACAAAAAGTCAGAAAAGGAGCTCTTTAAAATCTTTTGATAGATGAATGGATTTTTGGGGATATTGAGGCTAAAAATCAATATGCTTGAGAGCATTTTGAAAGGCATATACATACATATGTATGTGCGCACATACTAGTTATGTAGATACAAATGCAGAGCTACCGTACTAATATGAGTACAAAAATCTGTTTGCCCGCATATACAAATACCTTTATGTATAAATGTAAAGACATGCATACATATGTTTACCTTTCCGCATTCCAAATCATCATAAATCCTTAGCTATGAATTTTGAGGTGTTTTCTGTTGGTTTTTAACAGTCCAGCTTGTGGTATTCACTCAAACGACTTGGGACACAAATTAAGAAAACCATTTTGTCAACACGTGTACCAACATATGAGCTGTAGTGATTAAGTTGACTTTTTCTTAGGAATAATCAGTAGCTGTGGTGGATCAATATATACACCTACATTTATGTATATGTACATTAGGGTGGGCCAGTCTCCATAAAAAAATCAGTTCCTTTTTTTCCATTGGAGTTATAAAACTTATTATATATTACCACTTCAACCAAAATATTTTGAAAAAGTATTAAGATTTACGTGAGCTGGCGCCATATGAAAATAGCTCCAAAAATATAATTTTTTTTTTATAAATAAAAGTAGTTTTAACAAAAGTAGTTTAACTCTTCTAACATGAGTTTTAGCTTAAAAGGCCTGCTTAAAAATTAAAAAAAAAAATATCAACGGAATCTCAATATTGAGTTTTTTTTTTTGGTATTTTCAAATCGGTGTAGCCTACTTGAATCTTATTATTGTTCTGAAATATTCCAGCGAATGTAATCATTTTTATAATTTCGATGGGAAAACCGCAACTCTTTTTGCTGATGCAGCCTAATGTATGTGCCTACATATATACGATACCGCAAGTGTGTGTGAGCTAATGAAGCTGTTGGCAAAATGCGTGTAGGTATTTGCCAGTGACTACCCTGTAGAGAAACACATTGCTCTCAGACTGATGAAAATCCATAAAGGAATAATTTGCAATCTCCACACCGCATGGTCTATATTAAAAGTAGGGAAGCTTAAAATTTTCACAGAAGAACCGATTGTACAATATCTTTTAACACATCATTTTTTTTTTTCAATTCAAAAATTTTTGTAAATTTCCAAATACGTAGTAACAAACTAGTCACTGACGATGTGGCTATGTTTTACCATAAATTATAAAGCACTCTTTCGTTAGAATTTTTTCAAAATCGCATATTATAAAATATGTTGTTTAATTTCATACTAGTCCCCTATAAAACAAATTTTTTATCCAATTCTTTGTATGCTTTGAATGTTAGCTTGTATATGTTTTGCTTGTGTATGCGGCTTCAACTGCGGTGTCCAGTAGAGGTATACGCCGCCGAGCCACGCCGCCGCCGCAAAGCCTGTCGGCGTAAACCTCTAGTGTCCAGCCACATCCTCAGGAAAGCATTCGCATACCACACACGTAAAACACACCCATCAAATCAGCTGCCAAGCTGCGTGTATTGTGCTGCGTGTCTGCTACAGCCAGCGCTGCTTGATACTCATACGCCATGTTGGCCAACTCCACGCCTCGCCCCCTACTGCTCTTGACTGCTAATAATGAAGTGACCACATTTTTGGTAAATGTGCCAAACAGTGCGGAAGCGAGCATAATTGCAGCCGACTTTGTGTGTGTTTGTATGCGTGTGGGGTGGTAGGTGACTTTAACTGTGAACATATACATATACGTATGTCCATGTACATTAGGGTAGTCCAAAAATGCATGTAATAAGTAAAGTCGGAATGTTTATCCTTATTTTTAGGATTGTTCTATACCGAAAAAAATACATCCCTATTTTTTTTTTTAAATCAAAAAATAATATGAAGTCGCTCAAAGCGCCCAAAGTTTGCCATGTACTTTAAATGGGCAAAAACAACTTTTCGTAGAAACGGTATATAATTCTTAAAAATCAAAATTCTTCTATCACAGGAGACTCCTAATAATAATACCCAATGGTTTATTTAACTATTTTTCCATCGCAACTATAATTTATAGGTCCGCCAAAAACCCATAAAACACCGAAAATTGCAATGGGCGGACCAATAAAAAATTTTTAGTGTAAAAAAATTGTTAAATAAACATTTGGGTATTATTATTGAATGTCTCTTGAAGAGAGCCAGAGTTTTTCAATAGAAAAATGTTGATCTTCAAGAATTCTATACCATTTCTATGAAAAACTTTATTTTTCCCATATAAAAATACATGAAAAACTTTGACCTCTAAAGCGACCTCTAAACATTTTTTGATTTCATAATGCAAAAATTGGGGTATACTTTTTTTGATACAGAAACAGAACAATCCTACGAGGTAGGAGCATTACAATTCCGACGTTACTGTTTTTGGACCACCCTAATGTACATACTACTATGGCAAGTACATGCATATACAGCGTTATTCTGCTTATTCGAAATATGGTTTACTTCAATGCTTCGTTGCATTTCATTCGTTTTGCTGATAAATACCAAGCATATATGCACGTACGTACTTATCGCATGTACGGGATAAAAATATGTACACGCATATTTGTATATACATATGTACATATACATATATATATAGTATGTGTGTGGTAATTATGTATGCGTACATTAATACACAAAATTTAAACGAAAATTGTTAGAGTCCCACATTCACATACCCATAATTATGGACATACATATGTAAGTATGTATGTATGTATGTATGTATGTATATGTATATATACTGTGCTTTTAAAGCCAAAAGCTGCTGTCAAATTTAATTTGGAAAGTCGCCAAGAATTTAATGCATTTTAGTTTTGGGAAGATAATTTAGTAATATCAGATGAACTGAAGAAACTTTTAATTATGCAATTACGAAAGAGCCACAACTTAATACTCAAACAAATTAAATGGTAATGCGGTAAAATCAAAATTATGTTGTGAGAATATTATCAATACTATTTTAAGTCGATGCCCATTTTCGAAGGTAAGGTTAGGTAAGGTAAGCTGCCTAGTCACTGCGTGGCTTCGCCGAAACCAGTAAGGTCAACTCTACAACCAATTTCTGAGCACCAGGAGTAATGTTGAAGAACATCGCAGTATTTTGGGCGGCGGCTTGCACAATAGGCTTCCAGGAGACTAATTCGTACTCGGTTAAGGGCAGGACCTTCGAAGGGGTTATGTTTCACCGTCTGCTCTTTCCTTCTGCAGCTCCGTTATCATCGGCCAAAGTCAGTTTAAAGGCGTGCGATTCAAGTCCGTTAGAATAACGACCGGTAGCCAAGCGACCTCCCTCTTGAGGGCTGAGAGCAGTTTTATACGCTTTAATTCATGTAATCTGGACATAATCCTGAATCCTTTACAATCTTTTTTTTCTTTAAACCAGCTTCTTAATTCCCCTGTTAATTACTCACATATTTACGCTAGAATACGTATTTATTTGTTTTGTACTAACTAAATATACTTGAAACGTAATTTTTAAGCGGAAAACTAATTAAGAAATATTTCATTTTTATTTCCAGGTATGTGCCCGCAGTAACAATTATGCATCCAGAGCTATAAAAATATACAAACTCCAGAAGATCGGTTAAGGTCGCAGAATAATATTCAAGAATACATAAAAATTTCAAATAAGTTAGAAAAAAAATAATAATTAAAGGTTTTTTATGCTCAATCCAACTAGCGAAGTCGATCGGAATAAAGATAAAATTCAAATTATTAAAATTTGCTTTCAACATCACTTCAATATGCATACCAAAAAACCACAGAATTTCCAGCTTAGTTGTGGGCGAAAGTAATCCACGATTTTTTATTTTATTGAATTTTTTCAATTATGGCGAAAAATAAGCGGGTAGTAGCGCAGAAGGACTGGTCCGCACTTGGGTTGAGCAACTGGCGCAAATACGGAAAAAAGAAGGGGCAATTGGCGAAGTTTTTTGGTATCGGTTGTGGGGTCAAATAAGAAGAAAAAGATATCGAATCTGGATCCTACACAGAGCGAAAAGGATCTAATAAAATAGAACAAAAGTTAGAAGATATTTCAGTGGCTTTTCTTTGGGACGAAAGCCATCCCATTTCTAGTGGAATTATATTTTCAATGAAATAAATTTTTTATTAGATTACCTCATAAAAAGCTAAAAATATAAAATGAAAAAAAAAAGAAGTCTTTGGCTACGTGGTCGCCTTACCGACACTATACCATATAACAATATGATTTACTTGTCCTATGGAATTTAAAAGAAATAAAGACGAATTATTTTAAATTAACTCAAGAAGACATTCCATAAAATTAAGATTACTCTCTTTTTAAGTAGTGCAATCAATTAAATTTCCTCTACGGAATGTGTTTTTAAAAAATATTTGTACAAAAAAAAACCTATAAGAAATTTCATATAAAATCAATAAGAACTCTTACATAAAGCTGAGCCTCTTCACAGGCGCTTTAGTAGCCATTGACCTCAAGGACCAGGTTCAGCAAAGTGTATGCCATCTGCTGAATTAGATGTACTATATACAGGTTATAAACGGACAGACAAAGAATATGATTTTCCGCGCGAAACCCCCTTTGCTTTGGTACAACTTCATTCAGGATATGCCAGAAAGTTAAGCTCGTACACACATTGGTTAAAGCGGATGGAATACAAATGAAAATAATTCAATTTAAAATTTTAGGTACGCATCTGCATATATTTACATACATGAAGTACATATATGTATGTACATATGTATGTACATACTAAGAATGTTGATCGCGAGATCCCGATCTTTTTTAATTTTCGAAAATCCCGGGATTATTTGCATAGGTATTGAAAATACCCTTTTATGATTTTATCCTCGAATATGCTTGAAATTTTTCAATTCTTATTTTTGAAAAAATTATGTGTTACGGACTAAATTTATTAGCTTAAACAAATAAAAAAGATTAAAATAGCATTTTCAATTCCTATTTGTCCTTGTGAACCCAAAAAAAAAAAATTATTTCATTTGGTACCCATACTTTTGTTTTACATTGCACTGAATTTTTTTTAAATGAATTTTGGAAATAACCATATCTTTGAAATTAGAACGAGCCCTAAACGCCAAAATAACATAAGTGACATTTTTTTCAAAATTTTCGTTTTGATGCAGAAATGCATCTAGATGCCCTAGGAATATTTCTGCATCAAAAAGAAAATTTTGAAACAATGTCGCTTACGTTATTTTGGCGAATAGGGCTTGATAAAGTCTTTAAAAAAAAAAAATAAATATGACGTCAGAGATATGCCCATTTATATACAGTTAATTATGTGTAATATGAGGCAGACTTTTATAAAAAAATTTAAATTTTGGATAAACAAAAGGAATATAGACAAAACTGGTCGAATTAAGGCGTTTCTTTTATTTCTGCCACCAGTATTATGAACTTCTTTTAACCAGAAAATATTTATATTTTTTTTATTTTTTTTTGTATCGAGCTTTTTTTGACAAACCTTAAATTACTTTATCAGATATGTACACACTAAAGTATTATTAAATGCATATAAACTTAGTCATTGTCTTTCGTTTTGTTACTTATGAAATAATTTTCACTTTACATTAAAAGTACGTTTCAAACCCATTTACTTATTATTGATTATATGATAGGAGAGCTTCTCAAACCATATTGATGCAATTTTTTCATGTTAAGTCGATGAAAAATAATAAATATCTAAACCAGGGATCCCGGGATTGAACCAAGGACATCCCGAAAATCCCGGGATCGTAAAAATCGAAAAAATTAACATCCCTAGTACACACACATATGTACATATACGCACATTCAACGAAATAATGGGGGCTATCATATGCTCATACGATTGTTTAGGTCTTCACCATCATAATTCACTCTAAAAACTAATGGTCAAGCGTAAATTTAAATTGCACATAAAATTCAGCCTTTTTATGATTAATCAGGCGTCGAAAACACACAAAACATAAATAGGGCACCAACACAACCACCACCACCAGCACCACCACCACACACAACAACAATACTTACACAGTTTGTGTAGGCGTAGCATAATGATTTAAATGCTGGAAAGAACACAACAAGGAGCATAAAAGGATTTATGTGGTCAAGGCTTAAAGAACATAGCATATGCACGGTTGCATACATTTATTAGCTTAACGCTAAAGGCTTTGAGGAAAAGGTAAAATGACAGTGCTGAGAGAAGAAATGAAGAAAACAGAAAAGAAAAGACGGAAAATGGAATTGAAAGAGAAAGTAGGGCAATTTAAAAAAAGTTATTGGAAAACGGGGTTGAATAATTTTGTAAAATAAAGTCGTATAAAGTTATATCTATACATATGTTTGTGTGTATGCATTTGTTACGTGTGCACGTGTGCGTCAAACCAATTGGAAAACAACATAATTCATTGGTAGATAAATTTAATTTGCAATAAACATAAATAACTCGATTGACCGCAAGTTGCATTGAAGTTGTGTTGGAAAAGAGGCCAGAAAAAAGCATGCATACATATGTAAGTGGTTATCGGAATGCTTGAGCAAAAGGCTTGGTCAATTTATTGGAGCGTTTTTTTATTTTTTATATATACAAACATATGTTATATAAATCGATTCAGGCCACACTTGTATTCGGAAATATTTATGAGTTTGTATGTCTAAATAAATATGTTCGCATGCATAAGATGTGACCATCATTTCTTGCAAACATTCCAGAACGTGTAAAAATGAATTTACATAAACTCTATATTTCGAAAAGAAAAGACGATAATACCTTGGAAGTAAAAGAGTAAGCGCTATAAAAACTTATTGATTTTTCCAACGGTAGTTGTGTTAGAACTTATGGTTTTATACAGAAAAAACCTTTTTTTCTATTTTTTTGCGATGTTGCTTTGACCAGTGCTTGAACCCAGGCGCTGCGGAGTGGAAGCGCGCACTGCTTACCACTACACCGCAGCGGCTTATTATTTCTTAAAATTGTATAAATATTCTTCTTTCCAAAGCCATCTTAAAACTTAAAATTGCGTAAAAAATAGTCGAGCTAAAAATTTTGTAGTGCGGGAAGTCCTGTAGCATTGGTTTCTTAAGAATAAGTCGAGAATTTGATGGTGTTAGAAAAATTGTAAACGTAGTTTCGTGAACTACCCGACCAGCTAGGTAACTTAAAAATTTCATGGTCAGTGTAACACCGTGTAATCTATAGTATAAAAGTATTTGCTTTTCTAGCACCGACGGTTCTACATTTTTAAACTTTAGGCAAAGCACGTACTATGGTGCAGTGAATTTGATCGCTCAGCTGCTGGAATCTGCATTCAGCTCTCCTACTTGCAGTTATTGAAAACTTCGCTACTCCAAGAGTCCAGAACAAGAGCCACTACGACCTCAATGAACTTTTAGACCTCTTAAAGAGAGAGCCTCTGAATCAATTTGCTAAGATCCTAAAAGGGCCTTGGTGGGCGAATTCTTAATAACAAAGGGTTATACCATTGGATCCTTTTCTATTTTCTACGATGATATCCTTTCTGATTAAAGGGCGACCAAAGAGTCTGATACCCCAACACTTTTCCGCAGTTATTGCGTTCAGAGTGTACCTATTCAGTAATTATGGCTCTCGAAAACAACCAACAGAGACCGCAGAATTATTCAGGTCCCGAAAAGTCAGTTAGCAATCCTTTTCATGCCATCGCAATGGTCTGGTGCTCAGGATAGTGTTACCGTGTTTTGGCTGCCAAAATTAATAGCCTGCCAGCAAAGTCTCTACCCAGCGTGGACTTCTTCGTCCTCTTTGAAAGCGCCCAGATGGCTACTTGGCTATCTTCAAAAATCACTAGAAAGCCGCCCTTAAAACCGTTTCAAGGTTTATTTTTACGCAGTTTAAGATGGCGCATATTTCAGTATGACATAACGTGGACAAGGTTCAAAGATACCTGCTCCTACTCTATCCTCCATCCTTGAACCTTCTGTGTACCAGAGTACTTATCTGGGATTCAGTGCAGGTAGCCCATTTGGCCAACCTTCGCGATCAGCGATTTTTACTTGGGAGTTTTCCCAAGAATATCTGCATGAAACTTAGATGGGAGACGTTGCGACTCCCTCGTGGCTGCTGTGTCCTTGATAAAAATGTGGAGAGGAGTCCTTCGTAGGAACGACCCTAGAGCCGCAGTTGAGCACGTTCTTATTGAACCAATGACAGATAAGCATGCTACTAAAAGAAGGCTCATGTGAAATTTCATAGAGGACAGGCTTTCTGAGGTGGATCGGAGGAAGATCGAGAGCAAGAAATACTTAGATCGCATTCTGTGATTTCAAATCGCCTCATTGTGTGCCTCAATGGCATTTTCACAAAAATAATAAATTTGATTTTCTTTAAATAATTATTAGATTCCACTGTCCTATAAAGAAAAATACTCCTATATATTTTTTAAATTTAGTTTGAGCTTTAAAAACTAATTTGTTTGTTTTATTTTTAGATTTTATTGTTTTAAACAGCAAAAAATTTTTTTTTATGGATTTTTGATTGGAACGTATTTAATTTATTTCTATTTTTAGATTCTATTGTTAAGAAAAAAGTTTCGTTTTTAATTTTATTATACTTTATTACTTTATTTCTTTGGTCAACTTAATTTTCTCTGACTTAATTCTATTTTCCTTTAATTTTCTGCTTTCACTGAATGCTTTTTTAAATTAAATTTTTTTTTTGGATTTCATATATATATTTTTTTTTAAGAAAAATACTTATCTTTATTTCTTTTTAATTTTTCATCTATTTTTGTTTTTAACCTAATTCGAAAAAAGGAGAAGGTTATCAATTCGTCGGAATATGTTTTTTTTTTGTTTAA